AGAGAGGCCCTGAGTGAACAGATTCCTAATGGATAAGGAGCAAGAATCTTTTTCATCTTTTTTCATCTACTTTGACCTCGCTGCATTATCTGAAACCACTAGACATAGGATGACAGCTATTTCACCTAGCAAAAGTGGCACGAGGGAATGGAGGCATGAGCTAAAATGGCCCAAATTATTTTAGGGACACATATTAAATATTGAAGGAGAACATCACTTTTTCCATTAAGTTTCTGCTTTGTTTAGTCCAACAACTACCAAACATGGGGCAAACTGGTTAAATAATCTGAAGTTAAAATTCCAGCACATAAAAGAAAAAAATGCAGGTTTATCATTGGTTCACAGAAAATAAATGAAATTGGTCAGAGTTTGGGCAAGATTAGTGTATAGTGAAGAAAACCTGGCAGAGGTAAGACGGAGAAAAGAAGATATTTTGAGGCAATGACCTTGTGCCATGTGTGCAGTCCAAGCAAACCTGTTCATTCTGTGCAGTTCCAGGCGAGTGCCTGAATTTCTCATTGTGTCTCATAGCAGCGTCCATATTTCCATTTAGCAATGTTTTCCATTATCATAATGTATCTCCAGTTATTTATGCTTTCTGTCACCTCCTGGCTGCCCTATGATCCTGGGCAGGAATCCCACAGAGCCCAGGAAACTCCAGCGTGTACGGAATGCTCCGGCACGGCTCTCCTGCAGCGCACGCTGCTGTGAGCAAGCACAGCTCATGGAGCCTGATTTCTGTTCTGCTCTGGGTCCTTCACACTTTGTAATTACCCTGATCTTTGTTTTGGAGGGATTTTGCTTTTCTGGCACAGCAAAGTGGGACAATGGCAGATGGAAGTTGCTGGGTTGGTAGCTGTGAACTCCCACAGGTTCTAAGGACCACTACAAATGTTACCACACTCCAGTGCAAGCACAAATCAGGTTGTTTGTGACTCTGTCTTTTGTGAAATAAATGTACAGGTTATATTTTTGGACAATGAAAATTTTTCAAGTTAATCACTCCGTACTTGTTCCCCTAGGATGAAACTCTTCCCTAAATGCATCTCAGCCTTTGGGAGAGAGGCTGATTGTGGAGCTCAGCGGGTGCCAGCGGTCAGTGGGTGGATAATGTGATAAGCAGGGTGGCACAGAGTGTGTAACAACAAAGTTAAACCCTGCAACATCATAATTTGGGTCCATACAGAGGAATGCAGCATCAAGGAAGAGAGAGCAATCTCTCCATCCCTGCTTTTTTCTAGGATGAACTCCCTGTGGTGCCCCTTTGCTGAAGGAACTCTGCAGTGGAAATATTCTGCAGTCTGCTCCACTGAGCTCTTCTCCTCATTGCAATATTCTGGCCACTTCACACCTTTGTGGAGAGGAGACATAGACAAACCATTTATCATACCTGAATTCAAATTCTGGACAACAATTAAAGAATAAGTACTAGTGTTAGAGGAATCCATTTCTCTAACATCCATTCCTCAGTGCAGCCATTTCAGGTGTGAAAAGAGTTTAATCTTTAGGTCTATTTCCCCGAGGATTGACCTTATATGCTAAAAAAAAGCCCAGTCTGTAATTATAAAGTAAGTGATAAGCATCAAATGGATTGTTACAGAACCCTTTTGTTGCCTTTATTGCATGATAAGGAGCAGTTGCTGTGTAACCTTGAATGTGGGCAAATAACTCATGCTAAACACATTGCGACAAAGATGGCATTTTGGCAGGGCTTTGATGTAGGTCATTTTATTACCAGGCTGAATCAAGCTACAAACTGATGTCAAACTCATGCCAAGAATGCTAATAACACACTGATCAATGAGGTGCTGGATTGCTCAAGTGAAGTGGTCGAGGGAAAATGCAGACTTAAAAAGTCTGGAATTCCAAAGGTTGAAGTGCTTGGGCTATTATACTGGGAGGAATTATATTCCTTGCATTAGGACAAGTTTTCTTTACTCCAGGGGCCTTTAGCTGAGTGTTGAACAGGACAGTGTCAGAAAGTATGTACTTATCTTTATTTTTCTTGACCTTTATGTGCAAGTAATTTTTATAGTTCCATTAACTAGTAGGATCATTTGCAAACCACTGTACAAAGTGTATTATGAAGAATGCCTTGGGGACCATTGTATCCTATTATGCTGAATGTTAATAGAATGAAAAATTAATTTAAACTCTAAAGACTTGAGCAAGGCAAGACTTCCCTTTTATAGGAGAAATTCAAAATTTTATTTGCTATGGTAAAACTTTAGAGCCATACCCTAATATGACCTTTATAAGTCTGATTTGAATCAGTCAGTGCAGAAGTCTGATTGTTTGCCACTTTAAATAAAATTACTTCTGTCAAAGCGTCTCTGTTTAAAAAAGGGGGTTTTCTGTGACCCCCACATTTGGAATTAGTCGCTGGTGAGCTCTGAGCTCACAGCTACTTGTTTAGCAATTAATCAACCAGAGATGAGAGAGCCCACAGTTCCAAGAAGCATCTTCACCTTACTTGAGTCTTTAATTGCTCATTAAACATCATCATTTTCAGCAATGTGGGACTTCAGAACACCTGAAAACAAGGATACAGTTCTTTATAATATATTTTTTATTATTTTTTGTGTGACTGAGTGCTTTAGAATGAGGAGTTCTCTCGAGTCTTGCTGCTAAGTCTCACATTGCATTCTTCCCATAGGACTGCAGCTAGACAAGAGATCAGGGAGACTTCATTGCTTAATTAGTTATTATTATTTCATATTTATGTTAACATAGTTGAGGTGTGATAAATTTGTGTGGAAATTAACTAAATTTAGAGCAGTAATGTGCAGGAGTTCTGTTATTTGGAAGAGAAAAGAACCGGTCCCCCATGAACCTTCTTACTCACAATGTTTGCCTTGAGGTGAGAAGGTGGCTGAGTTAAAAGGGTAAAAAATGCTGTACATTTTACAAGTTAGAGTGATTTATTATTGCAAATGTCCATACAGGCAACAGCAAAATCTCAGTATTGACTTCCACATCTCTTATGAAACTAGGATGTCACATCAATGAGAAATGTGCTCTCAGCCAAAGCTGTGCAGCACACAATTCCGAAGGTATCCCTATCCCAGCATATCCTGTATCTTTTAGCACACTGTAGTTTGAATAAAAACCTGTGAATTTGTGACTGTTCTATATGTGAACTTCTCCCTGTTCTGGATAACCAGCCGTTTTCAAATGATTGTTGGAAGGTGTGTATATTTTTATTGGGCTGTCCTGTTTATCTAATATCCTGTCCTGAATTTCATCCCACAGCTGTAGAGTAGGATGCTTCACTGTCTCCAGAAAGCCTAACTCGAGTAAAATAAATGCACAAAAGATTAGGACAATTAGTGACTAGAGATTAGCTATGAATATTTCATGCCCACTGCAATACTGTCTAAACACAAGATATGGAATAAGAATAAATTGCATTTTTGACATGCAGCAAACGTAGAAAGGAAATGATTAATTTAGAAAGATCTTGCAGTCATTTTAACGAGGCAGCGTTCTAATCACTGGTCACGTGGGATCTGCTGGATAAAGAGCAGGAAAGTTTGTCCCGCAGGATTATTCTAAATTCACCTGCATTTTGATGTTGGATTTCAGTATTTTGTGAACAGCTCAGTGGCTTTTTTCTGCAATGACCCAACCAGAGAATAGCTAGAAAAATGTTTCCATGAGCTTTGATGGCAGCCTGGCTCCAAGGTGTCATCCAGTCTGGGAGTCCAGCCAGTGTCAGGTGCAGCAGGAGTCATTCAAAGTGACAAGGCTGAGGTGGAGAATTTTTGGTGCAGGAGGGATCTGGGAACTGAAAGGGCTCCAGCTTTCATTCCACCTGCAGATCAGGGAAACTTCCAGAAGCTTTGCTGGCTGATTTCAAAAGAATTGGGTGATTCAGCTCCATTTTCACTACAGCACCCCAAAGCTACTTCCCAAATCAGCTTTGCTAGCCTTGGTTTAAACAGGAAGGAATTATCTTTGGGATAACTCTTTTGTAGTCCAGCTTCAGGCAGTTCTTGGTTAAATAAACTCATTACCCACGTTTCCCATCTGATATAAAAACACAGGATATACAACCATAGATTATATATGATCTATATAGTGTATTTTATATATATGTACGTACAGTTTAGTACAGTGACCTCATTGCCACTGCTTCATGCTTTTAATAACTCATGCATGTTGGTCTAGATGGAAATGATGTGTTCCAGCTTAACCATCCAATCTGAATCTCTGACACAAGCAGTTTTTGGCAGTGTCCTCAGTGGTAAAATGAAAACAAGGTAGTAAGCAACAAAGTTCAGTCTTTAAATCAGTTATTCAGTGCTCTCCATGTTCTTTAGTATGTGATGAGCACACACTGGAAACTGTCAGACACTGAAACAGCACAGGAAAGGGAGTTCTAAAAACTTTGAGCTGTTCCTCAGCCAGCCTGTTTGTCTTGGTTTGAACTTGAGGGTATTGAACTTCCAATATTATACCAGTGGCACCAAGAGCTGTAGTTATGGAAAACTGGCTGACTTTGAAAAGACAAAAATGCACTTACAGCCACTGCATCATGGAGTAAAATTATTTATTTTCCTGGAGCTGTTTTTTAAATGAAATCTATTTTGGATCTGAATATACTTTCAAGACTGAGCTCCATTTTGTCTTATGAGCAGTTGCAATTTGAGTGCGATATAAGAAGCTGCTGTTCTGTAATATAATAATAATAAATGTCAGTTTGGTAAAAACTTTATTATGAAGCAAAACTGCTAACCAAAGGAATTTCTGCTGTGTGAGTTTTTCATTACAGGGCTGAAGTGACAAATGAATTTATTGCTGTCAAGAGACCTATATTTTATTTTGGTCACTTAGCAATAATTAAATCTTTTGAGTAATTATTTTTTTGTGTGTTTGTTTTGTTTAATATTTTTGCTTAATATTTTTAAACAAAATATTGCTCTCTAAGGCATTGTTTAGGGTATGTTTAGCAACCACTTAATATATTTACAATGCTGTGTGTTGTTTCCTCTCAACAGCACTGTGCACAGAGGAGTGTGTGCATGGAAGATGTGTCTCTCCTGACACGTGTCACTGTGAACCAGGCTGGGGAGGGACTGATTGCTCAAGTGGTGAGTAAAGATACCAAAATATGATTAAAATATGTTTTGCTGTTAAAAACCAGGTATTATAAAGCAGTGGCCTTAGAACTTGGATGATTTGAATGGAAAAATGAACGTTGTCTGCTGGTTATTTTGTAAGAGCTCATAGTGGGTTGGAACAAGATGACCTTTAAGGTCCCTTCAACCCCAATCATTCTGTGGTTCTATGAATATGTGAAAATACCCTTTCCCAGGATAATGACATGGGACTTTTTTGGTTGCGTTTTACAAAGAACTGTGAAATGAAGTGGAGGATGCTGTTAATGCTTTTGCTCCTGTTATTAGGATACCAGTACAGATAATAGAGCTCTGTAAAGAATTTTTTTTCCTCTCAAATCTTTAATAGAGCACATTTTTCATGAAGTACTCTGTGGAGTGTTGGAGTGTTTGGAAAGCACTCTCTCCAGATAGAATTCTTGTCCTGTTCAAGCCAGGGGGAGTTTTGCCATTGACTTTTCAGGCAGCCCAAATTCTCTCCTCTGACTTACAATCCATTCCTTAAATCCATACTGCCAAAGTTAGAGAAGTGGGAGTTGGGAGTTCTGCACCTTTTGCTAGGGAATTAATCCACACTTGAGGCTTTCAGTTCTTTCAGCTGGCAAGGCTGTGTTTGTTAAACTCTCTTAATTGGGAACGGTGAGTTGAAGTTGTTGGTTCATGCTGGAACGGAGCAGGCAGCACAAACATCCGAGCGTGACGTAACACAGGCCCGAGACATTATTGACAAAACAGGAATAAGCTTGATAAATGGAGTCAATTTGTGCATCAGGCAAGTAAATAAAGCTGCATGGGTAGAGATGCTGTGAATGGAACTGAATGTGTTGGCTTCCTCCCTTTCTCCCAAATTGATTGGAATCTTAAGAAAAAGAAGGCAACAGAGAAGGGCTCTGTAGAGGGGGAGTCAGAAGGAAACGGGAGGTAAATGTGCCTGAGGGTGAGCACAGCCAGAGGCTGAAGGCAGCAGGGCAGTTTCCTGGATGGGTTCCTGGGGTTTTGTCTGCACCTTTGCTGAATATCCCCTTGATTCCAGCAGAAAAGGGAATAGGGAAGGGAGCAGGGAAGAAGGACTTTAGTCCAGAGGGGATGTGGATGCTCCAGCTCTGGGAGTGTTCAAGGCCGGGTTAGACAGAGCCCTGAGTAACCTGGTGTGGGGGTGGCATTCCTGCCCGTGGCAGGGGTTGGGATGAAATAATCAGTGAGGTCCCTCCAACCCAAACCATTCTGGAATTATATGACTCCAAGGATGGAAACAAAGGCCATACTATAGGGTTTGAAGCAACATTTTGGGATTATTTGGAATGTGGACAAGGGAAAAACTGGTCATCATGATATATTGAATATCTGTCTTTAAAAATATTTTAAAAAATAAAAATAATGCCATATATTGTGAGATATTGTATAGATTCTCAGGAACTCATATAATGTTTTCATTTTTCTTAGTACTAGATTTAGTTTATCCTGCCAGTTAGTATTTGTACAGTGCACATGCACTAACAGAAGTTAAAAATAATAATAAAAAGGCTATGACAATAGGCACATACAGATACAGATTATACATTTGTACACATGTGCACTCACAGGGTAGAAAGCACTTCATTCTGTGTAAAAATGGCCAGCAAAGGATAAGATGTCAAAGTACAGAATGGTCTTGTGGACTAAAACTACCCAGTGACTCTTATTAAATTGCTCTAATCTTGCAAGTGGAGATAAAAGAAAAAGAGGGTTTTTCCTATATTGAATATTTAGCTTTTTAAAGTAATTAGGAATATTAAAGCACTGACAATGATTGAGATAGAAACATTATTCATAACTTTTATTTCCGTGCTGGGCAGGGATCCAGTATATTTCATTTATGAGGTTTCAGTGGTGGAAAGAGAAGTGTTAGCCAATTCCTAAATTAAATATGCCCTGTTAACTTTTATAAATGATAGCCCAGGATTAGCTTCAAAATTTAAGCTTTCATTTTATTAATATAATTAGTGTGTTTGCTGGCCTATAGTGCCCATTGTCTTTCATTGCACTTGTTATATGCTGGGTAACACATGTTCCTGCCCCAAGGTCTGATCCCACAGGCTCTGCCCAGTGGAATGCTCCTAGGAGGGAAAGTCAGTTTTACTGCACCGGAGAGCTGCTCGCATTTGTGCTTGACACTAGAAATTTGGGTAACTGGGCTATTTATTGTTAAGAGACTTTGTTTAAATTCAAAGGTTTAAAGAAACAGATTTCAGCTGAATACAGCACATTGTTACTCCCAGTATTTCCAAGAAAGGCGGAATCTGGAAGCTTTGCCTAACTGAAGTTAGCCATGTTTTTCTGATACCTGATCCATGTGTTAAATCATATTTTACTGTTATCCAGTTATAATGTGGAAAACAATTTTCACTTCTACTGGAATAATGTGTCCCCTGTACCTGCTTTCTTTCTGTTCCTTCATGACTGATGACTGCTGGGTAACCAATGAAGGTCACGTGTTTGCAGAGCCAAAGGCTGTTTGGGATGTTCCTGCACGGTGCGCTCAGGACAAATTGAGGCTGGTGGTCAATGGTGCCATCCCAAATCCGTGGGGCTCAAGAACTTCCCAACACATTCCTCAGGACCAGGGATTTGATGCAGTCACAGGCATATTGCTTTTCATGCTGGCTGTTTGAAGCGCTTTCACTGGGAGAGGGATTGCCAGCCAAAACACTTCCTTTAAATTTAGCAAAGCTCCCAGGAGCTGGAATGGTTTCCTGAATGATCTCTCCTGGAAGCACTGCTGAGAAGGGGAGTCTCCCTGACACTGGGGGTCGTGTGTTGTCATTTACTGGGGAAAGATCTAAGGATGCTCACTCTTCCTGAGATACAATTTCTACACCCTGCAGACACAGCCATTATAACTTTCTAAAAGTTATTTCTAACTTTTACTTGATTTGATGGGTGAAATTCAACCATTAGCAAAGCTCCAGCACAAGGTCCAAGTGTCACTTCAGAACCAGAAGTCAGATCCAAATATTTTTCTTGGTGTGCCTATGCCTGGAGAGGGTCTGAATGCTGACACTGAGCCCCAATTTACAACAGAGAGGCAAAGTTGTGGTGTAAAATGCAGTTCCCCAATGTTACCATTCTCCCTTGGCTAAAATAGTCTCAATTAAATGTTTTGAATAGTTACAGCTACAGCCTGTAGTCATGCAAACAATTTAATCATCTTGCTCAGACTTGGTTTCATGCTTTCCTAGAACCCAGCCTATAAGACAACAGTTACAAAACTTGCTTTTCAGTGCAGCTTTCCAGTGACTGATCATGGTACATGTTAAGAGTTCATCTGTTGTCAAGGTTAAAATAACTTCAGATGAATTGCTAAACAATTATAAAAAACCCCAGTGCCATATTCAGCTCTGCATGTCTCTGTACCTGTGTTTTACTGCATGCTGTTGTACATCTGTCCATGCCCACAGGCCTAGCCTTGATTTCATGCTATAAAGCTGCAATATATTAAGGCTTGATTACCATAACAATAAAAAGAGAAGTAATGAGGTATTAACTAAAGAAGCTCTTGAACAAAATGTTTTCAGCATTTTAATGATGCTAAAAATTAAAAGGAAAGTCCCTTTTAAAGACCACTGCATACCTTTCCCTTCCCTTTCAACCTGTTTTATTGAATCATGCCTGTTTTGTCCATGCAATCTGCACTGTTGTTGTTTTAAATACAAAGCAAGATTGCAAATGCTCTGTGTGAACTTACCTGCTCACCTTTCCAATTATTTCAGAGCAATTAGTTTCAAACAGTGTGATATACTGGCTTGAAGTTCTGATGGGGATATAATTGCCTGTTGGTGGTTACCTGGCCTCTTCTGGGTTTTGCTCACAGCCATCTGTATTTACAGGCCCTTAAGCCACCATCCAGCAAAGAATGTAAGCTTATCCTTACACAAGTAGGACTTCTCATCTGCTTTAAGTATTTAGGTGGTTGTTAAATTAGTTTTGAAGGAACAGCTAAAAAACCTTTAGTGAAATTAATACAAAGCTTTAATTGAAATCATCAGGCCTGTGAGGAATAAGGTGGTCTTTCTTTCAAGATGTTAATCAGGTAATTTTTTGAAGACCATTTTGATTCTCACAAGCATTATTTATTGTGAGGAAGGTCACAGAAATCTTTCAGGTTATAGGGCATTCTCAAAAAAGGGGCAACAGGTAGGAAAAAAAAAGTTCTGGGCAAGAACCCCAAATTAAAAGCAAAAATCTTCCAAAACTGTGTGTGCCAGGTTGAGAAATTTCCAAGTAAACAAACACAGAGGTTGTAGTAAAAAAATAAAGTGGTTTTCAAAGTGTTTGATTTGTTATTGGTTTTGAGAGAAAACACAGTACTTTCCCAAAGTGCAATTAAAGAGATGTTGGCATAATAACGCCAAACCATTTTTCTTGCTGTGTCACCTGGGGAGAGAGATTATAGTGCTGCTGTCTGGCATAGCCTGATCCATAAGGTATACATATGGATAACATAGTTTTCCTTGGAATGGGTGTTTTGTACAAGCTGTCATTAGGAACAAGAACCTATTTCATCTTTATCTCTTTGTCAAAAATAGCCAAGGTCATAACAACAGACTGTTGTAAAATCACAGCAAGATCACTTTTAAGGGTATAGCCCTGGAGCAGCTGGAGTGCCTCAGTCCTGAGACTCGTGATGAATGGGAACAGCAGATTCTGTGCTAAATCTGAACGGGGTTGTTTGACAAGCCATGGAAAGCAACAGCAGAACTCTCAGGAGAAAAATGAAGTGTTTTAAAGTGAGGCTGTGGTGGTTTTCAGGCTTGATTTTGGCATTCATGTTCTCCAACTGCTTTGAACTATTTCTGAAGAGGAAATGAAGTTCAAAGGAAAGATCTCTGGTTCATGAATTCAGAATCAAACAAAATTCATGTGGGAGGCTGATCTGCCAGAATCATTAGCTGATTTTTCATCCTCAGACTTTTAGGACAGGATTAACCAGGAAA